TTAGTACAAATCCCTACAAAAACGAATATTATAACAGAGACCAATCGAATGGTGATTAAGAAATTATTAGACAAAAGAAAGTCAAGAAGAAGTGAAATGATGATATCTTCTTGTTGTCATCAAATAAGCTTTTTGAAATTAACCATGTACCAACGATTTTTTTTTCCGCAATTCAATTAACAAAATAAACAATTGATCACTAAAACAAAGAAAGAACCAACGATATTAATAGGATAAGCAAGAATTCTTTTTTCAAAGCTATTCAAAGAATTATAAAATTTACCGAAGAATCTTGAGGTGACGATGTCAAATGAACATTTTCAAAGTGCGACGATATTATTATGTTCCAATCTGCATCGTAGTAATCTGTGAAAATCTATTAAACATCAAACAAAAATCAGACCAATAATCGAGTATAACAAAAACGAAAACGATAGAATATATACTAATCAAACGATAGGAGAGCATTATATAAATTAATCTTCAAAAAGGAACAATTTGAAAGAAAGAGAAACATGCGATGAAGAAAATTTACACAAACAAACAAAAAAGAAGAAGAAGAAAAGTAATGATTTGTCTAGATGTTATGAAAAGAAGAGGAAGATATATATATATATATCCATGAGATGAACTCGTTAGGTTAGGGTTTGTCAATCATAATATTCGATTATTATATATCCATAATATGATTATAAAAAAATCAATCGAATATATTCATACGTCATGGATAATCATAAAATTATCATATATATATAGATATATATATCTAAGTAACAACTCTCTCGTATATCTAAGAAAAAAATAAAACATAATTATTAATAAATCATATATATATAAAAATCATAGATATACATAATAGGACAAAAATAACTTACGTATTTATCCATATATAGAATAGGATCTATAAGGAACCAAACATTAAGAACCATATCAAAAACAATAGGCGAAGAAAATCCTAAAAAATATAAAATGTTTCCAAATTAATAATTTTCTCGTGAGGTTTATACATTGACATACAACCGCATGAATTATACAACTATGGTATAAAGGCATGATTATGGGTGGTAAACAAGAGTAAATATAAGATATTTTTAATATTATAAAATTCTTATATTTACCCAAACCATTTTTGGGTTTCTAAATATAGAATCTATATTACCCATATTTAGTGGGTAAATATAATATT